TTACTGAGTGTTTGGTGTGGTATCAACATAGAATATCTATACTTCTCTCTTTTCCAACTACATATCTGTGACACCTGACTTTTTTCATATACTTAAACCAAACCAACACACACATAACAGACTGACCATACAAAGCAGGTATGAGAATCCAGCTATTTTCTATTAAGTCAGGCAGTAAAGAAATTTACAAAAATGTGAAACAATACTGCTCACAATTTTTTTGTTGTTGTTTTAAAAATAGAATTCTTTTTGCCCTAGATGGTTTGGCTCAGCAGTTAGAGTGTTGGCCCGCAGAACAAAGAGTCTCAGGTTCGATTCAGGTCAAGGACACGTACCTCAATTGTGGTGCATCCCAGGCCCTTGTTGGGGCTGTGCGAGAGGTTGCCAGTAGATGTGTCCCACTCGTGTCGATGTTTCTCTCTCTCTCCCTCACTCTATCTGAAGATAAATGGAAGAATATCTTTGGGTGAGGATTGAAAAAAAAGATTTTTCATAAACATTCATGTTAACATATAACTGGTTTACTATTGTTTTAAACAAATTACTATTTAAAATTTTTGTTTTAATTTTTAATTTTGGAGTCTTGACAAAAGGTTTAACGACTGCTACTCTATTAGAACTGACACTATTCTATAACTTTTTTTTAAAAATCCTCTCCTGAGGATATTTTTCCATTGATTTTTAGACAGAGGGGAAGGAAGGAGGAAGGGAGAGAAAGAGAAACATCAACGTGAGACAGACACATAGATCATTTGCCTCCTGCACCACCCCAAACGGGGTCGGGGATCAAACCTGCAATCCAGGTACGTGCCTGACTGGGAATTGAACCCGACCCTTCCGTCTGAGGGCTGATGCTCCAACAGCTGAGGAAAAACGGCCAGGACCTTCTACAACTCTACTTTAAGATCAATAATAAATCATTATCCACAGATAATTAGTGACTCCAGTTTGATATAACTGGTTGGTATATATTTATCGACATTGACTTTAAATCTTCTCATTGCTAACCCCAAACTAGCAAAATCATGTTTTCTATTTTCAGGAGCTCATTTGAATGGACTACTGAGGACTACATCCAAGATAACAGGGAGTCATAGCAACACTGCAGGGTCCTAGTTTGAAACAGGACTTCCTCATCCACACTAGTCTTCCTGGACTAATACAGGACTCTTATTCCCAAAGAGCTCTTTCTTTTCTATGCTTTCCAGAAAAATAACATTTTCATTAATAGGTTGACACACCTCTTTAATACTTAAATCCCTTACATTTTTGTCTATACACTCTTGAATTACATTTTATATGACAGTAATCTTGTATATTTTTGGACAGTTAAAAGTTACGTTTTCTTTTCTCTGCTCTCACGTGTCCTTTACCAGACATTAATATAGCCACTCTCACTTTCTATTGATTAGTATTTAAATCACATACCTTTTTCATCCTATGAACTTTGTTTTTGACAGCTCTACTGAGATATGTACCACAGCTTTTTTATCCACTCATCTATTGATGGACACCTGGGCTGTTTCCAGATCTTAGCAATTGTAAATAGTGCTGCTATGAACATGGGAGTACATATATTCTTTCTGACTGGTGTTTCAGGCTTCTTAGAATATATTCCTAGAAGTGGGATCACTGGATCAAATGGCAGTTCAATTTTTAATTTTTTGAGGAAACACCGTATTGTTTTCCATAGTGGCTGCACCAGTCTGCATTCCACTAGCAGTGTATGTTCTGGACACTTTCTGTGAATGGAATCATCCTTTATGACTAGCCTTCACTTAACATAATGTTTTAAAATACACATTATTTTTTATTCTCACCCGAAGACATTTTTCCATTTTTTATTCAGACAGAGTGGGAGGGAGAGAGAGGAAGAGAGAGAGAGAGAGAGAGAGAGAGAGAGAGAGAGAGAGGGAAACATCGACGTGAAAGGGACACATCAAGTGGCTGCCACCCGCACGACCCAACCAGGGCTGGGGACAAACTGCAACCAAGGTATGTGCCCTTAAGCAGGAACCGAACCTGGGTCTCTCTGGACTGCAGGCCGACACTCTAACCGCTGAGCATCAACCCATGCTCATCAGTTCGATTCCTGGTCTTAAAAATCAGGATTTACTTAAGAAATATTTGGAAATAATAGAGTAGCCAAAGCATGTTCTAAATCTTAAGTGCACCTTTAAAATACATACATATATATATATATATATAATTCTTCTTAAAAGGTTAATTATCAGTGTTTATAAACCCCCTCCTCCCCCAGCCCCAATGCCTAAAGGAAAGAGATGTCATTAAGAGCTTAAAAGACACGTGTTTAAAAGTAATTTCTGGTTCATGACTCCTCCAGTGGAGGGCATACAGGAGGCGGCCAATCGATGTTCTCTCATTGATGTTTCTCTCTTTCTCTCCCTCTCCCTTCTTCTCTCTCTAAAGTCAATAAAGAAAAAAAATTAAAAAATATATTTTAAATTGATATTTTAGTTTTATTTATTATTATTTATTTTATCCTCACCCGAGGACATTTTTGCATTTATCTTCTGATAGAGCGGGAGGGAAGGAGGGAGGAAGAGAGAGAGAAATGTCAACGTGAGAGAGACATATCGGCCCCAGCTGGGGACAAACTGTAACCGAGGTACGTGCCCTTGGCGGGAACCGAACCCGGACTCTCTGGTCCACTCAGTGGTTCTAACCACTGAGCAAAACTGGCCAGGGCTTTAATGGATATTTTAGAGAGAGAGGAAGGAAGAGACTCTTTGGTCCACGGGCCAATGCTCTAACTGCTGAGCAAAACTGACCAGGGCATAGATAAATATTTAAAACATTATGCCCAGTTGGTATGGCTCAATGGATTGAGCATCATCCCATGGACTGAGGGGTCCCGGTCCAATTCCAGTCATGACACATACCTGAGTTGTGGGCTCGATCCCCAGTAGGGGGCGTGCAGGAGGCAGCTGACTGATGTTTCTCTCTCACATAGATGTTTGTTTCTGTTTCTCTCCCCCTCTCCCATCCCTCCCACTCTGTCTGAAAATAAATGGAAAAAATATCCTCAGGTGAAGATTAAAAAAGTTCGTTCATGTTGCAGCATCTATCAGTACTTAATTCCTTTCTATTGTCAAATAATATTCTACTGTATGAATGTGCCACCTCTTGTTTATCCACTTTATAGGTGACGGGCATTTGGGTTATTTCTACCGTTGGGCTATTAGTAATGCTATAAACATTCACTTATAAGTTTATGTATGAACATATGTTTTCATTTCTTTTTGATATATATCGAGAAGTGGAACTGTTGGGTCCTATGGCAACGCTGTATTTGTTTGAGGATCTGCCAGACTGTTTTCCACACTGTGCACCATTTCACATTCCCAGCAGCGTATGAAGGTTCCGATTTCTCCAAATCCTTGTCAATATTTATTAACTTACTTTTTGATTCTAGCCATCCTAGGGGTATCTCATGTGGTTGCAATGCACATTTTTCTAATGACTAATGATATCAAGCATCTTTGCATGTCCTCACGGACCATCTGTATATCTTCCTTGGAGAAACGTCTATTCAAATCCTTTGCCATTTTTAGACTGAGTTACTGGCCTTTTAACTGTTAAGTTGTAGAAGTTCTTTATACATTCTAAAGACTGCACCCTTATCAGAGATATAAATTGCTAGTATTTTCTCCCATTCTGGGACTGTCTTTTCACTTTTTTGACAGTGTCCTCTGAGACTAACAGTTTTGAACTTGGGTGAAGTGCACCCTTTGTTGCTTGTGTTTTTGGTGTCATGTTTAAAGGACCACTGACCGATCCAAGTCATCAGTCTTTAAACCTGTTTTATACAAGTTTTATCTCTTATAGTTGTCTTTAATCCCTTATTCAATTTTGAGTTAATGTCTGTATATGGCATAAAGTGAAGGTTCCATGAGCTCTTTAAATCCTGTTAATTCTTTATATTGTTCTAGATTAGCAACAATTTATCCCCATTAAGAACAAGGAACTGAAAAGAAGTGAAAAAAGGCCCTAAGTTCCTGAGGAGTCATGAACCAGAAATTACTTTTAAACACGTGTCTTTTAAGCTCTTAATGACATCTCTTTCCTTTAGGCATTGGGGCTGGGGGAGGAGGGGGTTTATAAACACTGATAATTAACCTTTTAAGAAGAATTATATATATATGTGTGTATTTTAAAGGTGCACTTAAGATTTAGAACATGCTTTGGCTACTCTATTATTTCCAAATATTTCTTAAGCAAATCCTGATTTTTAAGACAAAACAAGACAAGGAGGCTCTACAGCCATTAGGAGATTGGTAGCTAACTCAGTTTGATAAAGTAAAACAAAAATCCTTATAAGTATTGAGAGATTTTTTTTTTTTTTAATCCTCACCCGAGGACATTTTTCCATTTTTTGTTCAGATACAGTTGGAGGGAGAGAGAGAGAGAGAAACATTGACATAAAAGGGACACATTGAGTGGCTGCCTCCTGCACAACCCAACCAGGCCAAGGGACCAACTGCAACTGAGGTACATGCCCTCAGCGGGAACTGAACCCGGGTCTCTCTGGATCGCAGGCGGACGCTGTAACCGCTGAGCCAAACCAGCCAGAGCTTGAGAGATTGTTTTTAAAAGAATATTAAAAACTTGTGTGCTTCACACATAAAAATATAAGAATTATCTCTAATCTTTCTGAGATTTCCTAAAAGGCATGGGTGGATGCCAGCAAACACAGCTTTTTTAGTAGTGAATGCAGAAAAAGTAAATTCAAGATCAGCAGCAATGGACCAGTGGTCTCATTTCTGTACACATAAGGCCTCAACGTCATCATTTCTCTCTCTCTCATACACACACACTGAAAGAGGGTCAAGAGATAACTACCCTGAATAAGGTCCATAAACAGACATTTTGCAGCAGAGGCAAATGCTATGCAAATCTACAAGCTAGAAATGACTATCCTGATCACATCCAGCATGCACGGGATGGTTTTAAGAAATTTCAAATGGCCGGGTACTCACAGGGGAGAGTTTCTGAATAAGGTCATGGGCAACATGAACAAGATTCTTGTCTTCGTGGAGACATTTCTGAAATTTTTTGCTCTCCTCATCTTCTAGAAGATCAAAATCATTGGCAGCGTCCAGTAAGGCCTGAATTAACCCCTTCCAGGACTTCAGGGCGGGAACCTGAGGAGCAACCGCAGCACTAATGCCTGTTCCAATCACCAGCACGAGTTCCCGAGGCTTCTTACTTTTTAAGCTTGGAAGCAGTTTCCTAAAAAAGTTCAACAAAGGAAAGGATGGGGAACATCCGATAGATATGGGGCACATGGAAAGAATGTCTGAAACCATGGTTTTCAGCTCTGACTTGCATAGCTGCAGAGATGGCAAGTGCCGGTTTCTGACACCTCTCCAAAACAAGCTTATGCGAAAAGACTAGAACAGTGTGCCAGTGCTTGCTGGAAAACAAAGTCGTAAGCCTGATTCAGGAATCCTAAAAAGTAACCTTAAAATCAGTTTTTTCTTTCATAGTCCTCTCAATCTAAGAAAAGCCACTAATACTGGGAAAAGTTCTGATTATACTACAGCTCAGGTGAGTTCTGCTAAATTATATTTTAAAATGTTTTTTTTTTTTTTTTTTTTTTTTTTTTAGAGAGAGAGGAAGGGAGAGAGAAATATCGAAGTGAGAAAGAAACATCGATCGGCTGCCTCCTGCATGCCCTGCACTGGGGATGGAGCCTGCAACCAGGGCACGTGCCCTGACCGGGAATCAAACTGGGCCCTCTCAGTCCACAAGACGACACTCAATCCACTGAGCTACACCAGCCAGGCATATTTAAAAATCAACAGTAAATTTCAAACATGTTTGATTTAGATTCCTGAGGGAACAGAACCCCATACAAATTAAACTCTATTGTTGAGAAACAAAACAGGAGATGAAAGGTGGCCAATAAAAAAATCGAAGCCCAAATTTTGTGAACATTATTAAGATAAAACTGAGCATGACTAAAACAGAGCAGGACATAGATAAACATGGGAACAAGTCTGCCTTCAGCTTGTTGTAGATATCCTCAGGCCAAAAAGAAAAAGTGTCCCACAGGATTCTGAAAGCACAGGAGGAGGAGCCTCAAGAAACCAAATAAGTGAAGAACTAACTATTCAGTGGATATGACAAAAAATGACAAGCACCCCTTTCTTACCAGGACGAACACAGAGTTCTGTCCCGAAGTTTCTATGCAAGACAGGGTGGGCACGAGTTTGTGTGTGTTGTTCCCCACCCACCCCCTTTCATTCTGGAGGCTCTAATAAAATCTGTTTGAAATATATTTTTTCACTTTAATTCATACTGATGGTATGTTTTTTCCTAAGAAATTGTCTTTCTCAACCTTTTGTCCAAATAAAATAAAGAGGAACAGGATCAGCATTTGGGCATAATCCAAGAAAGAACAGTACTTTAAGCTTTGGGAAACCTAGTTTTGGGAAAACAACTTCCAGAATCACCTTCCCTATCTCCAGCTCCTGCACTCAGTCCTTCAACAAATATAAAAAGTTTACAGCCCAGTCAGTGTGGCTCTGGATTGAAAGCCAGCCTATGGACTGAGAGGTCCTGGTCCAATTCTGAGTCAGGGCACATGTCCAGGTTGCAGGCTCGATCTCCAGTAGGGGGCGTGCAGGAGGCAGCAAATTGATGTTTCTGTCTCACACAGATGTTTCTCTCTCTCCCTTCTCTAAAAAAAAAAAATGAATAAAAACATATAAAAAAAAAAACTTTTTAAAGTACCAGCCACTACAATAGGCACTAGTGATGTGTTTATGAACAAAATGGAATTCCTAACCTCAAAAATATACTCTACTGAAAAAGTTGGTAATAGATATTAGAAGTAAATGATGAAAAATGATTTTCAATTCAAGGGAATCAACACAGTGGAGCATACACAAATATAAACCTAAGAAATTTCCGGAGGACTGGGGACTGGGGAGAAAAAGAATTTCTACTCTCACTTGATTGTGCTGTACTGCTTGAATTTCTTTTTACTCCATACATTATAGATTCGAGGTATATGTTTTTCTAATTTAACACTTCCAGTTAGAAAGAAAAAATTTAACAGTTGTTTTTCAATTTTTGGTTCTTCCTAAAACCAGTAAGTAATAGTAATTTTTTTGGTTAATCCTTACCCGAGGATATTTTTCCATTGCTTTTTAGAAAGAGTGGAAGGGAGGAAGGGAGAGAGGGAGAGAGAGAAACATGGATATGAAAGAGACACACTGATTGGTTGCCTCCCACATGACCTCAACCAGGGCCAGGGATCGAACCTGCAACCCAGGTATGTACCCTTTACCAAGAATTAAACCCGTGACCCTTCCATCTGCGGGATGATGCTCTAACCACTGAGTTAAGTAATTTTTTGTATAAGACATACATTCACAAAAAGTAGGGAAAGCTGACAGCAGACAGAAGAGACCCACAGGTTTAGAAGTTGTAAGGTAAGGGCTGAGTTCCTCTGCAGGACCTTGGGAGTGCTCAGGTCTATCTGAAGGTGGAGGGCTGGTAGGGCCAAAACAGGCAAATTTGTTGCAAGGCTGTACCAAGCAGTCTGAATTCTGGAGGCTTGCCTTCTAGAAAGGTTGAACCAGAGGATTCTGAATTTGAGAACACTGCACAGTGTGGGGAGGAGGATTAAACAAAGATCTGTATAGGAAATATAAGACTCTCCCCTCCCTCTTCTCCCAGAAGACTCCCACACACCGGCAGTGAACCTTATACCTACACCCCATTCCCCATTCAGTCAGGAGAGGGGGATTCCTTTCCAGGGAAACCAGCCAGCACATGAGAAACGACCTCCGACTGCTGCTGGATGGGAGCTCCTCAACTGTACTGCCTGCACCATACTTGATACCCAGAGTGAAGCCCATCAGCGACCAAGCCCCTTATGCACACACAGAACTTCCAAAGGGCTTCTTAGGGTTTTCTCTTAAATATAAGCAGACACATAAGGGTCACCTTATATTTGGGCAAAGCCCCCAACATGAGCATTTCACCAAAACATAACTAGCAAACAGAATGGAACTTGGAGGAAACAAGAGATAATAAAAGAAGAAGAAAAACTGAAAAGAAAATAATGACATCTTCATAGAGATTTTTAAAAAATGGCATCTATGAAACATGAACAGAATGCCATAAAAAGGGATGGGCAAACAAAAAAAGACTTCTTGGAAATTACAAACATAGCAGAAATAAAAATCATATGGTTGCAAGATAAAATTGAAAAAAGATCTGAGAGTTATAAAAATATAACCAGAACACCAAGGGTTCTACAAAGACACAATAAAGAAACATTATAAAGAAAGTATCAAATAAGTAACAAAAAAATTTCCCCAAAGTGAAATCACTGATGGCAAGCTTGAAAGATCACCCAATATCTAGATTCACATGAAGACACATCACTGTTGCCCTGGCAGGGTGGCTTAGTTGGTTGGAGTGTCGTCCCACACACCAAAAAAGGTTGCAGATTCAATTCCCGGTCAGGGCACATACCTAGGTTCTGGGTTTGGTGGGGCATGTACAGGAGGCAACCGACTTATGTTTCTATCTCACATAGATGTTTCTCTCTCTCTCTCTCTCTCTCTCTCTCTCTCTCTTTCTCTCTCTCTCTCTCGTGCGCACGCGCGCGCTAAAGATCAATGGAAACAAAACATATTCTCAGGTGAAGATTAAAAAATAAAAAAAGATACATCACTGTGAAATGTCAGGTTACTGAGAATAAAATAACCATCCATACAAGCTTCTAATGAGAAAAAGTAAGAGTTCATGTAATACAAATGACTAGAAATCAGAACAGAGTGGCTATTTTGGCAGGAACACTTAGGTGTTAGCAAAGAATGAGTAATCATAACTCTAAGGAAAACAATTTCCTACCTAACATTCTACATTTGGCCAAATCATCAAATAAATGTAAGTGTATATTACGACATTTTCAAACGTCTCCAAAAACTTTCCCCCTGTGCATCCTTAGTGAGGAAGCTAATGAGGGCATTCTTCAGCAAAAGGAAGGAGCGAGCCAAAGAAAAAGACAGGAGATCCAGGAAACAGGATCCAATATAGGAGGTGCAAAAGGAATTCTCGGGGTGATGGAAAGGAAAATGGCAAAATCAGCAATGGAGCAGCATGGAGATCATCTGTCCAGAGTGGAGTACAGTCCAGAGGAAGAATCCACAAAACAAATATAGCTAGTGCATTACTGATGTGTCAGTATGTCCAGGAGATTGAATCTCCTGTCACAGTGTTTGACGATAAATTGATAGGTACACACAAAGTGAACAAAAAAAAGGAGAGAGAGAGAATCTTTAATAACTTTGAAGGATAAATGGACAAGAAATGTAATCATAACACATTAGTAGGCTCAACTATGAATACTATTTATAATCAGATAATGTAAATATTAAAAAGTGATTTAACCCAAAAAACATGATATAAAACATACTGGGTGGTGGTGGGCAGTGTGCACAGTGTGTGGGTGGGGAGGGGGTGTGTGTGAATGTGGGAGAAAATCCATGGAGCAAACCTAACTCTCATTTTCCATAATTGGAAAGAGATAAAACCAGAACACTAAAATATAGCAGTACACAGAGTATATGGAAGTAAATGTTAGAGAAACATAAAAAGTTGAAAGTGATTGTCTCCAAGGGGGAAGGAGCAAGCCATTATGAGTACTGAAGTACTGATTTGCAAAATTATGTACATTTATGACCCTGATAAAAAAATAAAAGTTAGATCCAAAATAAAAATTTAATTTTACATAAATGTCAATATTAATTAGTGAAAAAACTGGGATACAGAGCAAGTTCATTACTTTTTGTTAACTACCATTACTGGTAATGTGCTATACTCCTCAGATTCCCTTCCCCTGTTTACCTGGGCTTTTTGGTGGGGGGTGCGCCATCACTGAGGAATCCAAAAATGTTGTCTGTATCAGAGGCCTGGCTCCCTGTAGAAGCCATCGAGTTTCTAAAATATATTAAACACCATGGACCACAATTAGATCTATAAAGTGTACCATTCAAAACAGCACATACATTAAACAGTTTTAATAAATTATACACCCTAAAGGTGTTCTAAAGGTAATCCCCTGCTAAGCAGAAATTCATTAATCAATGAGTGACCCAAACTTAAAGAATTAATCTAAAAGAAAGTAATCTTGAAATTATGACTTTGGTACTCCATGCTGCCATCTTGCTTCTTTTTCTGCTTCTTTATCCCCCTACTCCCCCCACCCCAAACCCAAGACCAATGTCAACTCATGTCAATTATTGGCCATCATTTTGTGGAATCGAAGAAACACCTTTTATTTTCCCATGAAACAGACTTGAAGAAGACTGGGAATAAAACAACCCATAGATAAGTGTGCTAATAGCTCCCAATTATCCATTTCCTAACAGTTATTTAAAAAAAAATCGCTGGGTCAAGAACAGAGCAATCAATACTCATTTGCCTACTGTTAGACATTACTTACTGCTGGACAATTGTGACCTCACAGGCAGTGAGACATGTCTCTCTAGCTAAACACAGTGATAAATGGGAAAGGTACTATCAAGCAAAAATATGTGACAAATGACCAATTATGTTCAGGTGATGAGATAAGTAGCCACAGCAAAAAATTATTGCAGATTACAATGAGAATGATAAAAAGAAGTTTTAATTGGTAATAGTTTTAGTAAACTTGTTAAATCTAAGGACCATTAATTCTAAAATAGCAATATTTTAAATAGTATGTATGTACCTACAAATACACAATAAGAAAGACAATGTGTATTTACCAGAGTTTTGGGTGTCTTATTATCTTTCATTGTCAATATTTAGAATGGAATTACTTGTAATTATTTTAAGTTTACTGTTTCATTAGAAAGCTTTTTTATTAAAATATCTTTTTAAGTTTGCTGAGTTAATTTTCCTGATAATAGAAGGCTCAGTTCTTCACCCCATATTCCATCACATAATGGAATTCTTCTTTGATATAACTCATTTGGAAAAGAGAAATTACAAAATCACAGAAGTGAGGTAGGAAGAAGACTGTCCTTTCGGTCAAATCTTTGATTCTGTTGGTGAGAAAGGTAGGGTTCAGAGAAGACAGTTTGAGTGACTTAACTCAGTAAGTCTTGCCTTAATCATCATCTGGGATGTTTGTTAAAAGTATGTACATAATAGTTTGTTAATTTAATTTAACTTTTTAATTGTTTTTATTGATTTTTTTTTAGAGAGATAGGAAAGGAAAGGAATACAGAGAAACATCAATGAAAGAAAAGCATCAACATCAATCAGCTGCCTCCTGCACACCCCCTACTGGGGATAGAGCCCGCAACCCGGGCATCTGCCCTGACCAGAATAGAACTGGAGACCTTTTTTTTTTTTTAATCCTCACCCGAGGACATTCTTATATTTATTTTCAGATAGAGCAGGAGGGAGAGATGGAGGGAGAAAGAGAGAGAGAGAAAAACATCGACGTGAGAGAGACACAGTGAGTGGTTGCCACCCACATGACCCCAACCGGGGCTGGGGACAAACTGCAACCCAGGTACATGCCCTTAGCGAAAACCGAACCTGGGCCTCTCTGGTCCACAGGCCGACGCTCTAATGGCTGAGTCAAACCAGCCAGGGTGAACTGGCAACCTCCTGATACGTGGGTCGATGCTCAACCACTGAGCTACTCCTTGCCAAGCTAATTTTGAAGACTGTATGTTTCTGGGCTCCAATCCCAAATTCCTAAACCAGAATCTTCAGGGGATTTTTTTTAAAAAAGATTTTTAGAGAGAGGGAGGGAGGGAGGGAGGGAGAAACATCAATGTGAGAGAGAAACACTAATCTGCTGCTTCCTGCACATTTCCTACCAGGGATTGAACCAGCAACCCGGGCGTGTGCCCTTACCGGGAATGGAACTGGCAACCTTTTGGTGCATGGAACAACGCCCAACCAACTGAGCCACACCAGCCAGGGCCTTCAAGAGATTCTTATAATGAAGCTAACAGGAAACACCTAAGTGAAATCAAACAAATGTTCTACAATCCAACTCTTTTGCTAAATGTAGGGCACACACTAGGCACCCTACACTTACGTCATCTTCCCTCCCTTTAGGTATACACATCATTTGTTACAGTCTAACAGCCTCCCACTTTGCTAACATCAATACTCAGTAGCTGACCACCATTAGAATATTTCCATGAAGTTTTCACTTATGTGAAGTCATTTCCCACTCTACAGTCTATGTTCTAGATCAGAGAAGTAGTGGTGGAAAAGTGGTGATTTCTACCACACACAGGACAACCCATCCGTTTGGAGAGATTTTTCAAGAGCACACAGAGAGCTTATGCCCTTTCCTTAAATATCGTTCTGTAAACCCACTTGTGAACAAATTACACCATGGCAAAAAGATTGTATACTGAAAAAGATGAAAATATAGAGGAAAGTAATTTAATGTTTATTAAATTTTGAAGACAGACATCTTCAAAATTAAAATGCTCAAATAAACCAGTCTTATTTACAAATTCTTATATAGTACTTACCACATGCCATGCACTATTTAGAAATATTGCCTCATGTAATCTCCATATGAAGTACTATTATTACCCTATTTCAGAGATGACAAAACTGAGGCAAAGACAGGCTGGGGATCAGAATTCAAATCAGGATGGTCTGCCTCCCAGGTCCATGCTCTCAACCACACTATTATCACCTAAAAGCATTTTTCAAGTATTAGCCTCTGAGCCTGTGTTTAATTTGCAGTCCAAAACTATCCAAAAAGGAAGTTCCTACATTCTGGACAGCAGATTTGTTTGAAATAATTCTGTGTAATGCTTACCAGCTGCTACATGGCCAGGCACTCGGCTGATTTGATCACGGCGGTCACCTAAATTCTGAAGCAGAAACAACACCTTTTTCTGGTGACAAGTACTATTTGCTACTACCTTCTAGCACCACTAACCTTCTAGAACCCTAGATCAGTCCTGCCATTCTCTCCTAGAAAATATGCAAGGTCATTTTTGCTGGATTCTATTTCTGACGGATAGTCAATTCTTGGTGTCTATACCTGAATGCTAAGTTATTTATTATTTCTTTAGAGAGTCAACTGCTCTGAAGGTCCACTTCACCTACATAATTAAAAGGAATTAATTATGGCTAACAGCTCCTGCCAAATTGTTAGCAAAATGTTTTGGGTTCTCTTATTTAGGAACTGAATGGGAAGTAATTCAGAGAATAGTGGTAGAAGAGTGGTGATTTCTAGATCTATCATATCGTCATTATTTTCTAACAATATATCATTACTTCTTTAGTCTAAGGGTGTCTCATATGAGACAATCTCACATGTACACTCTGGTGGCATCTAAGCATAAACCATATCTTATTCCTTCTAGAGTACTACTTCTGAAAAAAAAATCAATTTTAGCATTTTACACTAAACAATATGTGGTTACTGCTAACAAGCTTCCAAGCTAATTGTGAATTCCCAACATGCATCAACTAGTTCACACATTAACTTCTTTATGTGATCACTATCTGAGTTACCTGTGGCAAAGTCTTCATTACTCCAATTACTGCTAAGTACTGAGAAATCCTTCAAGGCCAATTAAAGTTCAGCAAAATAAGTCAAATACTTGGTAAATGCTAAGAAAAGTAACAGCAACTTCACTGACAAATTTTAAAGACCTAAATCTTCGTGTGAGAGAGGACACATACTTTGAAATCTGTCAGCTTGGCAGGAAATAGAATGTTTGTATCTGGTGGATGGAAAGGGGAACAGTAAGGCAAGTGTTTACAAAAAAGGATGAGAGAAAAGGGACTGGCCCGTGGATGAAATGCCGTTTGTACAAACTACAGAACTTGGGGATTTCACATATCAAAGGCGGCCAGTAGCTCTTGCTTTTGTGGTAATTTGGTGCCAGCAATAGGGTAAAATCTGACGGCTTTTTCCATTTAAGAGTCAGTAAGGTCTCCCAGCCCGAGTTCCTCCTGCTGATCTACGTCCCTCCCCCTGGCTGATCTATACAGCATCTCTCCCTCTGCTTCCAGCGTGTAGTCTTCAGCTCAAACAACTGACAGGTCAGAAGGAACCCAGAAAAATTCTCCTTGGTATTGGGGGGGGGGGAAATGCAATAAATCGACAGGGAGAAAAAGTGCTAATAATGGCATTTTTGCTTGGAAGTAAAAGGCAAAAATGACTAGCTTAGGAAGGTAGTACATTTCTTGTTTTAAATGCCACCTCCCCTCCCAACTCTACTTTAAAAAATAAATGACAGGAATAAAGACTGGCTTATTTCTCTAGCCTAAACATAGAAAAGGGTTAACTTCATTTTCTAAGGGAAAAAGATAGTCATCCTCTGACTTGGAAGAAATCAAATCCCCCTAATGGTGGCATTTGGACTAATTCCAACACATCTGGTTTTTATCAACTATGGGGGAAGGAAGGCAGGAAAAGATACCCAGTATAAGCTACTATAAAAGAGTACCCAACAAGTGCGCTGACAAGTAATAAACAAACTATTTTACTCAGGTAGCTGATACATTCAGTTCTGCAAATGTAGACTGCAGCCTTTCCTAGAAGTGTTTAAAACAAAATTTCCATGTCTTATTTCAGGCTCAAGGGCTCAGATGTTGCTTATACTAGTTATTTTATTTTTATTTTTTATTAATATTCACCTGAGGCTATTTTTCCATTGATTTTTAAAAAAATTTAGAGTGGGAGGAAAGGAGAGAGAAAAACATTGACATGAGAGATCAATTAGCTGCCTCCTGCACAACCCCAACCAGGGTCAGGGATGGAACCTGCAATCCAGGAACATGCCCTTGACTGGGAATCAAACCTGTGACCCTTCAGTGCATGGGCCAACGCTCTAACCACGGAGCTAAACCGGCCAGGGCTATACTAGTTATTTTTAATTATGAAACCAAAGTAACACATCATGTATAAGAAAACAAAACTGTTTCAAGAAGGAATCATGGCATATCCAAATTAAAATCTGATTTGAATTAGAAGTTGGTGACAGAAGTTGATGATTTTATACCATGCAAAGAATGGGAAATTCCTGTCACTGCTTTCCCTCCTGTGAAACTTCCGAGAAAGCACATCCTGAAAACAATGGAAGACTTAAAAAAGAGAAAAAAAATTTTATTTTCCATGTATCCAGTAGTGTGATCATCCATCTTCATCACAAATGACACAGGCTATTCATTAAAAATGAGATTAAATAAATCTTTGGGGCCAAGATTTTATGTTCTAGTGAGTCCTTAAAAACTAAATTCCTCCTATTGCTCTGGCCAGTTTGGCTCAGCAGTTAAAGCGTCGGCCGGTGGACCACAAAGACCCAGGTTCGGTTCCTGCTAAGGGCATGTACCTCGGTTGTAGTTTGTCCCTGGCCCTGGTTGGGGATATGTGGGTGGCAGCCAGTTGATGTGTCTCTCTCACATTGATGATTCTCTCTCTCTCTTCCTCCCTCTTCACTCCCACTCTAGTGGAAGATAAATGCAAAAATGTCCTCGGGTGAGGATTAAAAAAAAAACACCTAAATTCCTCCTATTGATGCAGTGTGAGTTAGCTATGGCAATACCCTCAACTGCTTGTTTTTCATGCCCACAGAATACACACAATATACTGTGTACAAATGTAGATTCATCCAAGTCTGGGTGATCCAAGATTTCATCATTATAAAGGAGCTCTCTATGAGGTGAAATCTGACAAGACTTAAAAAAGGGAAGACTTCTGCCACGATAATAATACAAATGTTTAGTAAGAATATCCTACCTAAAATCCACCCCTTTTCACTTTCTTGAAGATTCCTGACTTAAATAGTACTGAATTTGGCAATTAGAAAAAAAGGTGTATTTTGACAACATGAATCGTGGCAAATGTTATGGATAAAAACCCACAAGTACAGCTGAGTAATGATTTAAGTGTCAATCCCAGGAAAACATCTCAGAGGTCTGTGTACTGTGGCCAAGTAATCTAACCCCATCAATAGCAAAACCAAGGACAGAATATAAGAAAGATATAAAAAGTGAATCTGCTTTATAATTATTCTTAGAAGTTAACTAAAAGGAAAAAAAAGTTCTGCAACAAGATAAACAAATAAAAAAAATCACAAGTCCAATGTATTCATCACTTTCTAGTTCATGTTCAAGTACACAACATCTTAAACAGATGTAACATACAAAATAAGTGAATAGATACCCATTTAGGTTCTTAATTATGTTTCAAACTCAGTTATCAGAATACTCAATAAAGAGGGATTTAAGAATAAGCTTGCTTTTATTTAGTGCATTCAAATTCTTTTGTAATTTTGTATTTCAACAGCTATTAAATGTCTACTAAATGCTAGGCTCTTGACCTTCCCACTGAGAAAGCAACAGAACTGGACTTCCTCTTAAAGAGAAAGAGGGGGAATTCGGAGGAGATTCACATGCAGTCCTATCTAGAGGAAGAAGAGAAAAGATCTGGCAAATTTTCCAAGGGCCCTTCTAACTCGCAGTTACGTGAACTCGTACCACCTTCCCTTTTTACTGTGAGAACCAAGTCAAAGACCTGTGGCTTCGCAGCATCTTCTGGCGTGATCTCACCCCAGCTACAATCTCTTGGGGAAATACGCAAGAAGCAATGAATGGTAATTCACAGATAGGACTCCCATATGAAATAATCACGACAAATTAGAAATCAGGAAGTTCAAGAATCTATAAAAGTATACTCGATGAAAATAGAATAAAATTCAGAAACAACATGGGAAAGATCTGTAACGGGCAAGTGTGGCTGGAATAGCAGTAGTGATCTCCCTGGGTAAACGGAGGCTGGTTCTTTACAGAGAGCATTGTGCATCTCGGAGAGATGACGATGAAGGGGCACACACCCACACAGTGCACTTGACAGGCATGTGGCTTTGGGAACACTCTGCTACATCAGTCATTGAATATGACCTTATGAAAGCAGTGTGCCTGGTTTAGATGGCAAAGTAAAGAAACACATGCAAAATTTCACTGAGTCATACAGCAAAAAATGCAGACCACCAAATAAAACCGTTAAAAGGATTTAAAACTACTGAGCTTGCAAAAAATAAGGGAGGCAACAAAGCCTGATCTTAAAGAGCCATGTCCCTGATGAGCCGGGTCTTCACCCTACCACTTCCTCTTAGAAACTAAGACCTACCGTGCCACCCTTTACTCTAAAACAAAATCTTTCAGCTTTTACTAAATGCTAGGTCTTCCAAGCCCGTGATCCAGTATGTTTTTTATTTACAGAAAAAAAGAGAGATTTTTGTTTAGCTGCCTTATGGCATGGATTTAAGAAACTTCTGTGTTACTTGGAATTTCCTAATTCAATTTAAGGAGTCTGAGTTTGTAGATTACTATCTGCAAAACATTCATGGGATGGAAATTCTTTGCCTAAATGTTCATTTGTTTTGGCTGATGAACTTCTCAAAATGGACAGAGGAGAAACCCATTCCTAGAAAGCCGAGGAACTCCAATCCCCTTCTCTGGACACACTAGCCTCTTCGCTGTCCCTCAAACAGGCCTGGTGCCCTCTGGCGTTGCACCTTTCTTTGTCCTGGCTGTCCTGCTACCTGGCATGCTCCCCGGCTAGGTACCTGCACAAAGTTCCCAGCCTTTGCTCAAATCACACCTTATCAGCGACCCGCACCAACCTCCCTGACACTGCATTAATTGTTCCACTTCTCATTTCGTAGCACATACCACCCTCTAACATAGTAATTGTATTAGTAGAATAATAAGGAGACTAATTATGTTTATTATGTCACCCATCTCCTCCCACTGGAATGCAAACTCCTCAAAGGCAGGGCTCTTTGTTTAGTTCACAATGTATCCCAAGACTCTAGAACAGGGCTTGGCACACAGTAGGTATTCAAATATTTCC